TGGAAAAAGAACATTACAGAAAATCCAGATGTGAAATCCCAGTCCTTGATCTTTTGTTTATAACAGCTACGGATGGATGGGGGATCAAGTTAAGTAAGAGATGTCAAATCAATGAAATAACAATGAAAGCGTGAAAAGATATTACACTGTGTTATGGTTGAAAGAAGAGAGAGAGAGAAACAGAGGAGTGAAAGAGAGGAAGAGATGAGAGACAAGAGAGAAAGGGAAACAGAGAATAGGAAGAACTGAACTGTGTTCTGTATTTTCATTTTAGCATAATATCTAACTACACTTAGGACCCCTTATATAGGCTCCTTCATCCCTTTATTCTAACAGAATCTAACTAAACTATTTATGCTTTACATATCACACTGCAAGTTATTAAGTAAGAGAGGTAAAATTACCTGCATGGCCAGATTATTTCCAGCATGTTTTCCACCACTAATAAGAGTGAAGGCAGGAACAGGAAGCAATGGACTAGTTTTTCCGGAAAGTTCAGCAATGTGCTTATAAAGTGGAACCTGATATTTTTGTGTTTTATTTTTTTAATCACTTTGAAAGAACAAGAAGATTTATTCAGACAACAAACTAGAAGAATACTTCAAATTAACAAAGAGTCATGCCTCCTTTTCTGCAGCTCCAGCCTTACAAGCAGCAATGGACACAGCTAATATAGCATTGACTCCAAGCTCTCCCTACAAATAAAAGCAAACACACAACAATAAGGAATTCTACAAGGATTGCAAGATAAACTTCTTTGAATGCAGCATGTTTACAGCCAGCTAAACAGATTCTCTTCTGGTGACACTAGGAGCGTTTTTTTGACTGAGATGGAAAATGAAAAGGTTGAAAATACTATAGGAAGTAAAAATATAAAATATTGAAAAGCTTTCCTTTTTAAGGGTTGAGTAGATGATGTGAGTAGATTAGCAATCTCCACAAAGCAATTTTTTGACCAAAACAAAAATTTAAACTTTCACGAAAAAACTAAATAACTATAGTGGCATCCAGTCATTTGACTTCTTCATGACCTCACATTTATTGTGGTGCGTGAAAATGATTTAGCACCAGCAGTAATGATTCTTTCACAAGGGAATGATGTCAATAACACTATTTTTGTTTTCATTCCAGAAAATGATTGAGACAAGTTTGGTTAAATTACCCCAGAGATCATGGACCTCCACAAAACTAGTGCAGATGTTAACATTCCCCTGTACACACACACGCACACTCCCTCACTCAAATCAGACAGGCCTAATGCAGGCAGCCATATTAAGAATAGCGGGCTCACTAGGCCCACAAAAAAAAAGTACGATGAGCGAGAATGCAGAGGAGTATGAATCTGGGAAAAATGGAAGTAGAAGTGGGAAAAAGGAAAATTCAGAATAATAACTGTTCAAGCAGGGTGGTTTAAAGAGTCACTGGGAAGTTACCAGGCAAATGGCAGTTAAGGGGCCTATTGGGAGAGGAAGTTATTGGTAAAAAGGGTGAGCAAAAACTAAAGGGAGGTCTATGGAAAGTGCTAGCCTTTTGAAAGCGAGTCAAGCATAACTGCATCCCTTTTTCATTATTCTATGGCTGATGTTCTTGTTTACAGTGCTATGTGCTGCTGTGGTGTAGTTACATGTATTATGCTTCTAACAAGCAATTACATGTGTTTACATTCAAAAGGAAAACAAGTACCTTCTTCTCTGTTTTGTCCAGATCTATCATGGCCTGATCAATTTGGGACTGAAGTGTTGGGTCCATACCAATCAGTGCTTCAGATATTCTTTCATTAATATTTTTAACTGCTTTAGCCACACTATTTCCAAGATATACACCCTTGTCCCCATCACGTAACTCAACAGCCTCATACCTGAAATCCTTAATCCAAACTGTTAATGTTAGTTATGTTATGGTTGAGAACTTTTAGAGAAAAAGAACCCGATAAATAATCAAACAGCTAGAAACAATCATCATAAACACCACAAGCAGACGGCTGAACCTAATCACCCATCCATGAAAATATGGTTTAAATAAAAGCAGCAGTGAGTGTGACAGCAGAAAAACACGAAATGCAGCCATTACATAACTAACATTATGTGATGTTGTCCAATCTGGCTGCAACCACAATATTGTGGCTGCACCAAGTGATAAGAATTTAAAACTGATCAACCTTCTCACATGAATATATCTATATTATAAATGTGGACTATCAACCATGATAAAATGTGATTAAAAAACTCAAACCAATGCTCAGCTGCTGAACTGCCTTGAACTAAAGTTAATTCGCAACAGGAAAATGCAACTCTTAATAGTTTTCCTAATTATACCACAATCTCACAAAAAGAACAGCGAACATAATACAGTAATTACATTAGGAATGAATTCAATGATACAAGGTCCGTAAAAATTGGCCGATGATAATAAAATGAAAGCATAATCCACTGAATCAAGCTTACAGAAATTGATAGACCACCATTGACCCCAGGGAGAATTACAAGTCAAGAAACTCTGATCAAACAAAGATATCATTAAATTACCCCCTCTCCGAAATTATTCTACTTATTTTCCAGAAGTCATCCCCAATGACATATTTCAAAATTTTCAAGCTCTAATTTAACAGATACATTAAACCAAGAAGTAACAACACTTACATCCCAGTTGAGTTGCCGCTGGGAACCGAAGCACGGAACATGCCTTTATTAGTGTACAAGTCCACTTCGACAGTTGGAATTCCTCGGCTATCAAGGATCTGCCTCGCCTTAATTTTCGTTATCACAGACTGAACTGCTTTTCTCATATGATTGGACTGACCTCACAAAAAATAACCACAAAAAAAAAACGTAAACAGTCATGTTGATGCAAGACCGCAGAATTCTTTCAGCTGCCAAAAAAAAAAAAATCGATGCTGAGACAATCCGAGCTACACGATTGCATTTCCCCGAATCAATTAAAAAAATAAAAAGTAATACGACGGAAAGGAAGTTACAATGAAGAGCACAGGATCGGGAGTCTTGGCCCTAACAGCAGCATTGACGGCATCTTCGATTTTCCGGGAAAGCAAGTGCTTATCCAGATATTCTTGCACTGACATTTTCTTTTTTTTTTTTTTTTTTACTTTGAACAAGTCGCAAGAGCTGCTTCTTCTGTTTCCTTCTTCGCGATGTCTGTGACTCTCCCACCAACAGACTTGGAATTTCGAAGCTTTCGAATAGGCTCAGTGCGCTCGGTGATGGCTAGTTAATTGTTCGCCAACTGCCAATTTGGTTTCTGAAGACGCCCACGGCGTTGTGGCCTCGACTGTGCAGGAAATGGAGCGCGTTCTCGTCACAGTAGAATTGGCGCTGCGGTAACCCCCAACTTAAACGACGTCGCAGCCTTCGGTCTTCCTTGCCATAGTGTTTAAACAAAACCTCCTTAAAAAAATTAATATTTATTTTTTATAATTTTAATTTAATTTTTATTCAATTCTTAAATTTTAATTTATTTTTATTTTTTATAATTTTTATTCAATTTTTATATTTTATCTCTTAATTCAATTCCTATAATTTCAACCATTTAAATAAATCTGTATAATTTTTAAAAATAAAATTATAAAAATTAAAAATATTTTAAAATTTTAATGTTTACAATATTTATAAATATTAAAATAATTTAATAATTTAAAATATTAATAATAAATTTTATTTTTAATATATAAAAATTAATATTTAGATGATAAAAATTATAAGAATTGAATTGCAAGAATTAAAATTTAAAAAATAAATTTTAGTAAGTTAAAATTTCAAAATTAAATTATAATTAAATTAAAATTAAAAAAAATAAATGATTAATTTTTATACCCATACGGTACATAGAATATTAATCTTGTTCAAAGTGAATAAAAAAAAATATTTTAACGAGTTCATTTTTAAAAAAAATAGATAAATATGTTATAAAATTTTATATAAGAGGTATAAAAGAAAAAAAATAAAAAATCAATTAAAAACTTCCAAACCATAATTCTCTATTTTTCTAAAAATTAAAGACACTAAAATTTAAAATCTCACACCCCACCATTTTCTTTAATTTAAATAAATTATAAAAATTAATAGAAGCTAAATTAAAGGTAAATATTAATTTTATAATTTTATAACAGTTACAAGAATAAAAATGAAATGTGTTTCGACTAATGTAACCTTGTTATAAATTTTATATTTTAGAATAAGTTTTATATTTTATATTAATATCAATATATTGATGGTAATAATTGATTGATTATTTACTGATGTGAATGCCCAGACTCGCCAATCAAGGTTATCATCCATATCAGTGACTTTCAAAAGATTTTTTTTTTTTCCACTGTGTTTTCTTGTATAACGACAATTTACTACTTCGTTGATTATTATAAATCATTTTTTTGAAATATCATGTTAAATAATATATCAATTTGGATCTTTGAAAGTGTAATTCATAATTTTTTTCTAAAATGACCATTAATTTAGAAGTGTAACTAATAAATTTTTTAATCATGACATCTTATTAAATAAGAATAAATATAAAATATATATAATTTTAAATGTTATTAATTAATTAACTTATTAGAATTAGTTAAAAAGGCTTTACAATTCTGAATGGTAGAAGACTAGAAGTGCACATTACCTCTGCAATTTGCTAATGTAAATATTTCAAGATTATTGAGACTGTTGAGTGTGGGGAATGCTTAACGTTAATCCAGGTCTTCAAAAAATTGATTAAAGTTATAACTCTAACAGAGACGAAATTGATTGATAATGGTTAAATTTTATGAATATAAGTGAATGCACGCTTTATGCAATCATTTCACTGTTTTCAATCTCTCAAATTTTGAATTTTTCTTTAGTAAGAATATTCAAATTTGTCGTTAGACATCACGATTAGTTCAGTCAGAAAGACATATATTACACGCGACAAAACCAAATCCTGTAGGTTAATTCACAATAATTATCATCATAAGGATGACAACGAGATTGATATCTAGGAGTAGAGGATATGCGTAGTAAATCCTTTTGAGAGCTTCAAAAAACTTTTTTCCTGTGAATTCAATACATTCATAAATTAAGTAGAAGTGATCACTTTCATTGTGCAAAACATGGTGTGTAGGGTATTATAAACTGTAAGGCTTCCACTATGCTGCTAACACAAATGCGCTGGATGAGCCTGTGAAGTGACGGATTGAACCAAATAAGCTCTTTGACGCGCCAAAATGTCTGATTCGGTACACACCAGGGGATGCATTTTGCGGGATTCTCCATTCTATGGTTGCTTGACTCCGAGGGCTGAATCTGGAGGGTCTTGACCACTTGAAGCGGAGGCAGAAATCGTCATCATCATAAGCAGGAACCCAAGTGTCCTTATCTTGGAGGGCTTCCACAAGGGCAAATGTACCTTCAGTCATAAGGTCATTACGAGGGCAAGCTGACCAGAACTTAACCGTCACCATTTCGCCTCTCCTAAAGGTGGAGTTCTTAGGCACATCAGAGATAACGTCCCCAAAGTTTACACCAAGCGGGGTTCCATCCACCACCACCGGCGGGAGAAGGCTTATTTGCTTGCTCAGGAGATCCGGCGGTTGTGGACCTGGTTCCACTGGTTGGCCCTTGACAAGAGCATTTGCAAGCTTCTGGAACTCCTGAATATAAGCACTCAGAGTGTGTGGACCATATAATGTGGAAGCACCCTGACAACATTAGAATTGAGCTTTGAGAATTGGTGCATGTGCAAATGCAAGCACATTGATCAATCTCACAATAGGAGCTGCAAGAGGTAGTGGCATATGACCAGAACAAATTTGAAATAGTATTTGAAAAGTCTGTTTATCCTGTTCCAGTCTCTCTCTAGTTATGTGATATGCAGATATAATAAAAAATCCACTATTGCAATTGGCTACTACCATTGCAATCTTGAAATTATACTCCGTGCTTCATATTTCTTTCACAAAATGTCAACTAACCTCGTATCTTTGCACTTCATATTCTTCGAAGGTAGTCACGTACTGTGAATAAGTATTAGTCAACCCTGCTATAATGACATGAATGTCAGCACCAAAGTCTTTACTATTGCTGAGAACTGTCTTGACGGCATCACGAAGCCGCCTTCCTGCCATAGTTGTGAACTCTGAAAGTAAAACAATGAACAAACAAGCATGAAGCACCCAGTGAAATATGTAGGCCACAGTATCTAGGTAGGACAATGTAAGCTTAGGCAGTAGATACAGATGTTGGACTCTATTGGATCTTAAGATGCTTTTGCTGTTTTGCACATATATAAAAGAAATCGATTCGAGTTACTAGGGTGCATCCAAGTTCGAGTTACATCCTGTCATGGCAGAATCCAATTCATCAACATGTTAGCTACAATTTTTTTGTTTTTCTCAAGCTCCAGGTTTGTTTGCTTCGAGCAATTTTACAACAACATGGATTTATATATTACATTCACAGCTTCAGAGTCTACCAACACAATTGATAATTAAAACTTCTCAAACTTCTATTGCTGATGATGTGAACAATAATTAAAACAGTGCCACCATAAGTGGACATAAGTAAAATTTGTGACCCCATACCTGCTGGTACACTAAGAATCACGAACTGCCCAATCCGGAAGATCTGGATAGGAAGTATTGAAGGCTGCAAAATGGACAATATAGCAGAAAGATTCATATAAATACAAGTTTCAAGTTATCAGCCTGTCTGTATATAAATGAAACCAGATACCGAGACTTCTATGTCAGGCAGCAGTTACTAGCAAACATAATCAGGAACACATAAATCAAGACAAGTAACTTTCTAAGTAGATAGATCTTCTGGAATACAAGCTTCTAAGTGACTATGAACTAAGGAGTTCATTGGAGCCAATACCATCACCCTTCTCTAGATAATACATAAAGTAACCATCGTGCTCCGAAATAATCCAGGATGTAATATATCTCAGTATCAACATAATTTTTATTTTTCAAGAAAACTGCATGAGTTATACCACAAAATGATCGAGGAAGAAGGAAAGGATAAGATGTAGTGAGGTTATTAAATTACCTTATCTTACAAAGATAATTAGACTTAATATAGGAAATAAACTAGACTTACGAAAGCATTTATCCAGTTAGCAGAGTCTATGTGCCATTAACCTTCCATTTTTGTATTTAGCAAACATTGCGAAGATAAAACCAAGCCAAGGGACTATAAGATTATAAAATTCAGGACAGATGAGATAAATTTAAACAATGACTTACAGCCCAATCATATGGTTGCTTCATTTCACCAGTATCGAGCAGAATAGGTTTTGGCTGCTGACATTTTACTTGTTCACTAGTTGGAGTTTTAAGTACGTTTCGGACCAGTTTCCAGAAAGGATTTCCCTGAAAAACAGACCAAACAAAAAGCAAATATAATGTTTGCAATTTTGTACTTTGTTGCCTAGGATTTTGAATTTATTATGAGCACAAGGTATAGCAGTCACTGATTACCTTATCATCACCTTGTTTAAAATCAAAGGCTCCAGGTCCATCTGTTGTTCCAGCTGCAAATGCAAACCCCATTGCAGCAGGACATGTCTTCACTGTCTCAGAAGCTCCTCCTTTATTAATGGCTACCTCTAGTTGGGAGAAATCCAAAAAAGCATGTCGAAAATCAATCTTCCCTCTAATCTGTTCAGATGCTCCATTGAAGAGATCCACAGCTTTTCTAAATTGTCTCTCCCCTATAATACGTGTACTTTCAAATTCGTCTGGATAACTGTCACATTAGTTAGAGACAGCAATTAAGTACTTGCCAGGCGTAGGTGAAATCAGCATGCAATATAGAAACTTGACAGTGCAGGAAGTAATTACCCAGGTCCTCGGCCATAGCATAATTCATTCTTCCCTCCGCACGTACTATGATTGAAGTCACAAGGTAGTCCAGTGTCTATACAAAAGGCTCCAAGGACATTTGGACTAACATCACCGCAATTTGATTGACAAAATGCAGATACAAATCTAGGCCTATCAACCTGCCTAAGAGCACCTCTCACACGTCTAGCAACACTTGAAGTTTTAATTGCCGTCTGCCAGGAGGAGATTGGAAGGTGGCAGCAAGTTCCAGCAATTCATGGTCTGTATCAATAAGTGTCATGCAAGGCTATAAATAGAAATATATTATTTTCATAGATGAATCTTAATGATGAGTAACCTCTCTCTCATTTAGAACAAGAACTTTGCCAGTATATTCACATCTTCCAGTGTCATTTATACTGATTTCAGACCAGCCTATTTACTCCACAAAAGTGATCACTTTACCCGGGGGAAAAAGTTATCTAAATGCACCAGATCTTCTGAAAACACATTTGAACTAGACAATGATATCCATCTCATATTACTGAACTACCAAGAAACTTGTTGCACAGATCCAATGCAGCAAAGAACATTAACTTGTTTAAAGCACCAAGAGTCAGAACCAACAATAGAGCAGTCATGTTTTCAATATTTAAAACCATATAACCATAATTTCAACCATACTGTATTGCCGACCCAAAAGAGACAATCCAACAGCCAATTGAAAAATAATTTTAGTTATGCTTAAAGATCTATGCGCAAAGAATCAGTATCAGTATTCCTTCTGTCATCAACTACTTACTACTTCCAAACTTTCAGTCAGGAAGTGAGTAGATCCTTTAAACATTTGAATACAAAAATAGATTAGGTTTTATCATTGTAGGTACTAATAGAAAAACTTGCCTTTTAGTTTTCTCTCCAACCACAAAACCAGATCAATAAACAGATTATTTATTATTAAAAAACCTTATATGATATTCATGGTTGGCTGATTGCTAAAACTGATACCAGGAAAAAGGGTCGATGCCATTAATTTAAGCATCACCTGATTTCAAGATTTGTTGGCATCTCAAATGTTAGATCCACCTAGCATATGGACATAAAGTTTGTGCTGTTATTCATTAGCATATCATGATAGCTATTCTATCCCTGGGATCTCTATTAGGAAATGCTAACAAGTTCATGAACGGATGCATTTGGAGCAAAAAAAACAAGGCACAAGTAACTTACGATTATCATGAGGCCTCGGAATTATGTTTGAGATTCTTCTGGGATGACCATCATCTTCAAATCCAACAGTGACCTTTCTTCCAGAGTTTTGGTCCTCAAACCAGTCTTCCATAAATCTTGCAGCAGCCCCTTTATTATCCCCACTAATCAATGAGTTTGTACGGCTCATTGAAGTCCCATGAGTAGCAAACCAATTGAAGCTACCAGCAGGGCCCCATTCATCATGAACAAATTTTAAAAGAGTCATGTCTTTATCAACATTATACTTATATTTGCTTCGCTCTGCAGCAGGATTATTGAGATAAGCACTAGGACTGCGATTTACGCCAGCATCTAAGAGCTCTCCTGCAATTTGGAGGTAACCTTTGTAAGACTATTAATGTCACCAAAAGGGAGGGAAAAGGGAAACCTAGTAATAGTTTTACAACAGAAAATGTGTACAAAGATTATACATAAGACATTACCTGGACACAAGAAAACTATTTTTGAAAGCTACAATTTTCTATCCCCAAATTTAAGGAAAAAGAATAGTGAAATAAACATAATAAGTTTGTGTTTAAAGACAATAAGTAATATGAGTTTGCACTTACAAACTCCAAGTCACAAATGTTAAATCTTCAATAAATTATCTGAGGAGGATAAATGAACAGAAAGAGCTATTTATGTATTTACACATTTATTTTTTCTCTGTTTAAGATAAAATTTCATCTTACATTTGTGCATCCCCACTTTTGTTGAGTCACTATAACATCATTATTAACCTGGTTTTAGTGATGTAATGTCCAAGCGCTAATCATGTAGCGTTCCCTTATCTTTTCTTCTTTATAATTATAATTAATAAATTAAAGAAATATTGAGAGAGACACCGCGAGCCAATGAAATGTAAAATAAAAACTAAGCAACTTCATTTCCTACTAGCATGCTTTAACAGTAGGAACAGATACTTCCATCATAAATATCATCAATCATCAATTGATATCAAAGCTATGTTGGTTTGCATGCATTTTTTGCCTTACCCTTATTGACAAATATTGATCCTGGGCGAAGATTTTCATGAGCTTGTATAATGCTTTTCTCAATTCCATCAACAAGGACATCAAAAGACTGGCGCACAAATCCAAGAGATGTTACGAGATACACAACATATTGGAGATAACCCCAGGACCAGCATGTGTGTGAATTCCACTAATAGCTACATTCTTTTCAGTATATAGGTCATCATATCTGTCAAACAATACAGAGCCCGATTTCAGTCACATAACTGAGGAAATTATACAGAAACATCAGCTACTGCTAGCAGAAATCTAACAAAAGCTTCTCTGTCAGGCTACAATAATCAATGCAAGTAATGATATCAAGCTCTTAAAGGATTCGAAAACAAGGATATTAAGAGAAGAGTAGAGAGTAGTTATTATGGGTACCTCGCCTTCAACCTCTCAATTACTTTGATTTTCGCCAGTTGTGAAGCCATGCAAGCATCAAGGTTTACAAATGCTACCCTCTTACCATTAGGCTCCGCAACAATAAAAGCACGTGATCGCAGCCTGAAGTGGATCCCAGACGCGACTTGATCTGTATTAGAATACCCCTCCATGTTAACATCAGCAGCAGGACCCGTAATGTCATGACTTCCAAGACCAATCAAGTAATCAGAATCTGAATATACGATGATATCACTCTTCAGCAGCAGGATCACAGTAAGGGTCCACACTCGCACAGCCGTACATGCCCGCCATCCGCTCGAATGAGAGCAGGAAGAAAACTCCATCATCACACCCAACTCAAAGCAAAAAGCAACTGATTTCAGGCTTAGTCAGTTCTTTTCATTCCCCTAAACCAAACACACCGAGTGTCACAGAAGTCAAAGTAATAAAAAAACGCGCGCACGAACAATTACTATTTCAGATTACAATAACAACCAGAAATAGAGAAAAAGAATTTCAGATTACACATTGATATCCCGTACAAAGCTTAACAATCAACCAAAAAGCAGGAAATAGAAATGATGACACTATGCATATATGTTGCCGTTAGTAAAGAAGCTTAGAGAGGATGATTCAGTTCCTCACCAGCCAGAGAACGAGGTTGCGATCTTACAGGAACATGATGATGTCGAAGTGGCTGCAAGAGATGATAAAGAAGTGGAAAGCGAGAGGGCGAGTGTGGCGTAAAAGGGAAGAAAATGACTGACTTTGGGAAGCAAGCGAAGGTTGGGTGTGTTGCGATTGGCTTCTACACTGCCAGTATTTGAATCTTTCGAAATTGACAATATCCCCAGCCCCTCACGAAGCTATCCTTCCAACACCATCAGATTTAGGAGAGGCTATCTATACCGTATGTTTGGTTATGAAAGTAAGAGAGAAAAATACACGTATATCTTCAAATCCGCCATGAAGACCTTATTAATAGATTATCTGTGCAAGTAATCTTTGAACCCAAAACTTTGTTAGAGGAAAAAAAGAATTATAGGTATCCTCTCCTATTAAAACCAACCCTATTCGAGAAGAGAATTTCTTAATTCATCATACTATAAAAAATTAATCTCTTCTCTTACACTCAATTCTCATTAGTTGTCAATGGCTTTTTTAAATGCAAGAGACAAAATCTTTTAAAAATAAAAATTATTTCTTTTACGGTTCAAGATACTAATTTGATTAAAATATATTTTTAATCTTCTAATTTTATATAAATTTTTAATTTAATCTCTTAATTTTATAAAATATCTTTTTAAATTTTTAATCATGATATTGTTAATTTTAAATAATTATTCTTTGTGTTAATGATTATTATTTTAAAAAAATTAAACTTAATATGCTAACATTTAAAAATATTTTGTCAAGATTTAAAAATTCAATGTAAAAACATGTTAAGATGAAACCAATAGTATTAGAATTAAATGACTAAAAAGATACTTTATAAAGTTAAGGATTAAACTAAAATATTATAAAAAGTTAAAAAACTAAATGTATATTTTAATTTTATCTAAAAGTCTTACCTAATTTAAAATGTAACCCATTAAATACTTTTTATAATGATATAGATAAGTGTGGTTTAAAATTTATAAATAATTTTATTTCCTTATCTCTTATTTGTTTTATCTGTATTAAAAAATTATTTTTTTACTTATTTTTAGAATTCAATTCATTAAAATTTTCTCTCCCTTCTATTCTTTTATATTATATTATAATAAAAGGATAATATCCCGTGCACGGGTATAAAATCTATTTAAGATAGGAGCTAAAAGCCATGTTAACCAAAAAAAAAAATGTATGCCAATTTGATCCTAGCTTTCTCTATATGATGAAATGTAAGTGCACAAAATGGGTAGTTAGCAATTCATTTGAAGGTTAGCTAGGCACAAGTTCAAGACATACCATCAGCAAGCATCTAGATGTTATCTATAACCATCAAACATTTAAATATTTTGTTCATTATTTACATTTAATTGCCACTAATACTCTGTCTTAAGGAAAGATCATCTACATAGACAACTCTGTTAAAACGGTGTTAGCTGGCGACAAGACTAACCCTTGTCTGTCAAAAGTACTGGCCAATATGATACAATCGTTTTCTTAGTTCGAAAGCTGGTTATGAAAATGTTATTTTGAGAATGAAAATTATAAGTTATTCTTTTACATAGATTCCACGTCATTTGCTTTCTTTCGATTTCTCTCACCCTTATCTCTCCCTCACCCACCTGTCATTTATTAGATTGTTTGATTAATTTTGGACAGTTGATATTAAATTTTATGCTAGTTCGAAAAAAAAAACATATTTAATTTTGCACAAAATAATTTTTTCATTTTCTCTCCCCTAAAATGTTAGTCAAATTTTAACAATATAAATTTTATATACTTATTTATTCAATATAATTTGATGCTTTGGTAGTTTTTTGCAAGATATTAAATTTAAATCATTTAGATTTAATCAAATGGTCTAAATATAAAATGGAGGGAAGCGGAGGGTTGGAGGAGTGAAGAAAATTCCATTCTCTTCCAAATTACACAGACATAAAATAAAAAAAATGACAAAACAAAAGGCGCTCCATGTGTGAATTTCACAAGTAAAAAATATTAAGAAATAACAATATTGCAATTAATCAAATTAATTACTGGGGACTCGTAATAGGATAACAAATCGAAGAAAAAATTGCAAATACACGCGAACACTTGCATCAGTGAAGAAGAACAAATTAAAGATTGGGGCGTACGAGACGATGAGAGTGTGTCCGGACTATTAAAAAACAAATGTTTACTGGGATCATCTTAATAGAAGGAAATATAGTTAAGCATGAGATTTCGAGTTTCGATAGATATAAGAAACGTACTTAAAATAATTACTTTCAATTGAGCTTGATAATAATTAAACTTGACTCAGTTAAATAATTATATAAAAAATAAGAATTGTTTTTTTCTTGCAAACAATAAAAATTTTATTATACCAACATATATGAAGTGTGGATACATATTTTATATTGTACAAGACACTGATAAAAAAATTGATTTAATGAGTAAGAGAGTCGTATTGGCTCTAAAAAATTCAAATTTGAGCCTTGAAAATAAAGTATTTTTGATGGAAGAATTGCCCCTCCAAAAGATTCCAATCCCCATTCAATTCCAATTAGTCGAAACTGTTAACTTTTCGGATACGGGATGGTTTACATATATAAATATAAATATAAAATATATATATATATATATATATATATATTTTATTTTTATTTTTTTGCCAGACGAACCGTGCGGATCCTTTGTGGGGTTAATTAATTAATGGTAAAATGGGACCGAGGGACACGTCAAAGGCATGTCCAGAAGAAACGTCAACGAAAGAAACCGCAGTGGGCCCTACGAAGGTTTCTTTGCTCATTCGCTTTTTGTGATTTTCCACACTTGTCCTCGCGATCTCATTCATCCTCTCAACAATCTCGTTGTTTTCCTTGGTCTACAGCCTGGGCATACTTTTTCATCTTAATATAAAACGTCAATGTGAATTGGATCACGCCATCGAGTTAAAATATGTTTTCGACCTCAATAAGAATTTATAAAAATATTTACATATTGTTTCACAATAAAATTTGATCTGAACTCATAATCTTATAAATTATAAATTAAATTTTTATTAACTAAATCAATTTTTATGGACACAATGATACAAGCATTCGAACGTGGACATATTACCGATCTTTAGTTATAGAGGGTCGGAGGCCAGACTTGCCTTGCCATAGTAGCCTAGACGCGTTTTTAAAAATTGCAAAGAAAATATATCAGCTTCATAAATTAAACATGCCCCCTCTTAGACACGTTTTTAGATGTGATTTATATATTGTAACAAATTTTATATTATCTCCGCCTCAATATATAATATACTTTTAGAAGAAATTTATCATTTTAACATATAAAAACTTGGACAAAAATAAAATTTTATTTATAATATTTTTCTAGTATTAATCTTCTCATTATATTATTTCATAAAATAGAACATTAAATGAATGACATTTATAAAAATATATTTTTATCTTAAAAAAGCAAGGTTGTAAAGTATATTCATAAACTTTATATATATATATATATATATATATATCATTTTATCAAAACATGTCTTATAAATTGAAATAAAAAGAATACCATTTATATCTTCTAAAGTTGGGATTGATGCAAGGGTGGAATTAAAAAAATTTATTAGGGGGTCGAGATAACAAAGTATATATGATAAGTAAAGAAAAGTTAAATATATATATATATATCACTAACATAATATAAATATTTTAATATATATATATATATATATAAAGTTTTGCTCATCAATTTTTCATGGTATAAAAATTATTAATTATTATGTTTACAATAAATATTTTAGCAATTTTCTTCTCAAAATAAATTATCATTGAACTGGTAAAAATTTTATCATCCCTATAAGCATTAAATGATTTAAATATATTATTTAAACATACAATTCTCTTCAATGTATATTTTTTTATTCATAATTGTAGTGAACAAATATATCAACACATTAATAATACTCAATTATCATAAAATCTTTATGTAGATGAGATCAAATTATATCAAAGTGAAATTCAATCATATCATAAATTTCAATAGCTTGATTATTTTTAAAAAAGTAATTTTTTTAGAACATTTTCATCAAACCTCTTAACTTTTGAATAAGTAATTTTATAATAGATATCAAGTACATAGCATTCAATATATTTTGAAATTTTGTTGCAATGCTTAACAAAGTTTGTTAATAATAATTCTCACAATTTCTTTCATTAAATATAAAATGTAAGTAAAATAAAATGACATCAATACTTTAAGAGCATGTATAGCATTATCTTGTTAAAAATGAGCAAATCCTATGAAAACCACATCCTAAAGCTATTGAAATATTTGCTCTGTATATATGTAAAGGACTACGTGTATAATTAAAGTGAGAATTCCATATATTGTTTCGTAATTTCTATAATATGTCAATTTAAAAGGGTAAAAAATATATAACTCATATATTTTACTAAAAAAAATTAAAAAGTTGGGGGGCCATGGCTCCTGTTAGTCCCCTTTCTCCACCCCTAGATTGATAAATTTAAGTAAATTTTTGTTTTTTTAGTATTTTCACTTATTTTATTTTTTTATAAAATATAAAATATTCCCTTTCTTTTTAAAAAAATTAAGATAATTCATCAATTTCAATTTAAGGGTGTTTAAATTCTTAATATTTTATGTTGATGCAACATGCGATTGCGAGGTATAGATTTTTAGTGGTATATGATATGTAATCGGAAAAAATGTACATCACGTAAATGCATTTACATTTATATACAGCTTATTGCTAAAATATGACCGAGGTGCATCAGTTAATCGTGGACTATAAAATGTAATACTGTAAAAAAAAAAAAAGGGACGTCTCTAAATAATATTTTTTAAAAATGATATTTAATATAATTAATCAACCAATTCAAACAAATAAAATTTAACTTTTTTAAAATTAAATTTGAACGGTTTAAAATAAATGCACAACTTGTGCGCGTGCCTCCCGGATATCTTTCTTGTGCCATACTCTATACTCTTGTATTTGATTGATAACAATTGACAAGGTGTACAAGCGTGCGAGAAAATTAAAGGATATATACATAAAACTCAAATAATAAATATTAGTATAATCTTACAATTATGATAAGAAGAGTGACGCGTAGGGTTTTAACAAAAATGGAGATAAGCGTCCATGTGGGGATTAGTTGTATGTTATGGTTGTTTTCTTAGTTTTACACTTACAAGGTGTGATATCCTTAATTATAATTTAAGGTTGCTTAATCTTATATTAAGTTATTTATTGA